TTATTAAATTTAAAAAAAATTTTAAATAATATAATTTTTTTGAATCATTTTATGCAAATTTAAAATAAATAATTCAATTATGTCCAATAGTTTATTTAAAATTGAATTAAAAATTATTGAATTTCTATGAAAAATTTATTAAATTTCAAAAAATTTTCAAATAATTGAATTTTTTTGAATCATTTTATGCAAATTTAAAATAAATAATTCAATTATTTCCAATAGTTTAATTAAAATTGAATTGAAAATAATTGAATTCCTATGAAGAATTGATTATTTTTATGAAAATAATTGAATTATTATTGCAAAGAAATGTATAAAAAATTGTAAATATTAGAATTTTTTTTGAATCATTTTATGAAAATTTAAAAGAATAATTCAATTATTTCGAATTAGTTTAATTAAAATTGCATTAAAAATAATTGAATTCCTGTAAAGAATTTTTTTATTTATGAGATAATTGAATTCTTGCAACAAATTTTATTAAATTTAAAAAAAAATTTAAATAATATAATTTTTTTGAATCATTTTATGCAAATTTAAAATAAATAATTCAATTATTTCCAATAGTTTATTTAAAATTGAATTAAAAATAATTGAATTTCTATGAAAAATTTAATAAATTTCAAAAAAATATTCAAATAATTGAATTTTTTTGAATCATTTTATGAAAATTTAAAATAAATAATTCAATTATTTCCAATAGTTTAATTAAAATTGAATTAAAAATAATTGAATTCCTGTGAAGAATTTTTTTATTTATGAAAATAATGGAATTCTTACAACGAATTTCTAAAATTTTTTAAATAATTTGATTTTTTTGAATCATTTTATGAAATTTTAAAAAAATTTTAAATATAATTGAATTTTTCTGAATGATTTTATGAAAATTTAAAAGAATAACTCTATTATTTCGAATTAGTTTAATTAAAATTGTATTAAAAATAATTGAATAATTGAATAATCTTTCTTTGAAGAATTTCATTATTTATAATAATAATTTAATTCTTATAAACAAATATTATTAAAATTTTAGAAAATAATTATAATCTTTTATAAAAAATTTTATAAAATTTTTTGAAAATAAATGATTTCTATAAAAAAAACCTTTGGAAATAATTACATTTTTCGAGAAATTAATTTAAAATTGTCTATATTTAATGGTAATTGAAAATTATTTTAACGAAGTTTTTAACAAATCTTGATTCAAACATTTTTTTGTATAAAATAAAAGAAATTGAAAACTAATTATTTTCTTAATTAATTAAATTAATTAAGAAATTGAAATTAAAGATTTTTTGTTTAAATTTTAATTAAATATACATTAAATTTAAATATCAAATTGTATATTTTATTATTATTAATTATTAAATATTATGGTAATATTAATTGTACACAAAAATACTAATAATAATATTAATTATCACCACTAAAATGTATTATTTTCCCTACATTAATGAATATTAGATTTCCATATTTGTATAAATGATAGCAATAGTTTTCCAGATACGGGAAAATAAAATTTTTTTTTTTTTTTGTTTCAAATTGTTTGTTCAAAATGTTTTTTCAAGACGATTTCCTCTCTTTATTCTGAGCAAACGGCGGAAAGTGGCTCAACATTTCAGTATTTTAGGAAGTTTGAAATTGCATTTTACCCCTTAAAAACGTATATCTATGTATATAGACAACACTTTAAAGAGAAAGTCGACTATAAAAAGTTATTTCTTTTCTATGGCTCATTAAATTGTTGTTAATTACTTTTTAACAGTCTTTTCGAAAAAAAAAATGTTTACTTCCCATAAAGAAAAATGTCTAAAGCAATTCCCTTTTGGTTTAGAAAAATTTTTCAACGAAAACTGTTATACGATTTTTTCCAGTCTCACTGAGGGTTCCAACGAATATATCCTCTTTAAAAATTTATAATATTTCGCTGCGATCTTCTTTTTAAATACTCCATTTTTTTTAAATAGTGATTTAATGAATTAATAATTTTTTGAAATTTCAACTTTATTTATAACTTTCAAGTTTATAATTTAATAATTTTTTTAGTTTTACCATTGAATTCAAAAACATGGTTTTTAATTTTGTTTTTCGTATATTGAGAAATGTGTTTTTGGGAAAATATATTTGAAAAAATGATATATTTTTTAATTAACAAAAATGTTTGTTTAAAGTTTGTTTAATTTTTTTTATGTTTTAAAAATACCATTTTTATTTGTATTTATTTACTCTATTTTTTGTAATTTTAGTTTTCTAAATATGGAATTCAATTTTGTTTTTTGTAGAAAAATTGGAAATATTTTTCTTTTTAGGAAAATACAATAAATAAAGAAATAATAAATTTTTTTATTATAACTAAAATGTTTGTTTAAAGTTTGGTTAATTTTTTTTTTAGTTTAGAATTTTTAGAATACTATATTTCTTCTTCTCTCTATTATAAAAAAAAAATAATAAAATGAAATATACGACAAATGTATATTGATAGAAAATAAAAAAAGTGAATTAAAAAACATGTGCACCGAGACACACGAAAATTGTAATAAAAAGTAATAATTTCATCACGAAAAAGTATAGGAATAAAATGTTTTTTCATCAAATGTTTTAAATATTAAAATCAAGAAAATAGAAAATCATTTCAAAAAATTTATAGAATACAAATTCAGTTACTGTCAGACAAAAGGCCTTTAAACACATTCCCAAAACGAATTCAATTATTTAAAGAAAACTAAAAAATTAAAAAAGTTAAAAAAAAAAAAATTTTTAAATTGTATGCAAACATTTAATTATTTTCATAAATAATAAAAATTTCCCAGAAATTGAATTATTTACAATTTCTTTATAAAATTATTTAAAAAAAATTTAATGAACTTCGTCGCAAGAATTCAATTATTTCTAATACAAATTTAATTAATCTATTCGAAATAATTGAATTATTCTTTTAATTTTCATAAAATGATTCAAAAAAATTCAATTACTTTCATAAATAATAAAACTCATCGTAAACTTTCAATTAGTTCTAATACAATTTTAATGGAATTCCTCGAAAAATTTAATTATTCTTAAAAATTATAATAATTAAATTATTTTGAATAAATAAATATTAAAAAATTCAATTATTTTCAAAAATTTTAATGAAATTCTTCGTAACAATCAATTTTTTTCAAAATAATTTTAATAAAATTCTTCATAGAAATTAAATTAATTTCAACAAATTTTGTGAAAATTCAATTATTTTCAATGTCTACTATTTTAATAAAATTTCATAAAAGAATTTAAATATTTAAAAATATAAAAATAAATTTTAATAAAATTCGTCTCAAAAATTTGTTGTTAAAAATTCATTATGAGAATTCAATTTTAAGAAACATTTAATTATTGAATAAATTATTTATTTTTGTATTTAAATAATTGAATTTTTGGAGAATTTTCTAATAAAAATTTATTTAAAAATAATTTCATATAAAGATTAAGATTTAACTTTGGACAAGTTATTAATTATTGCAATTTTTAGAAATAATTGAATTTTGTAAAGGTTTCAAATTAAATTCTTTGGAAATCTTAATTTTTCATACTTATAACCAACAATTCTATAATTTAAATTCTTGCGAAAAATTCAACGAAAGAATTGAATTATTTAAAAATGTGTTGATATAAATTTTTTTTAGAATTCAATTTTAAGAAAAGTTCAATATTATTCAATTTATTTTTCTATTTAGATAATTGAATTCTCGTAGAATTTTCTGATAAAAATTGATTTAAATAAAAATATACAAAAAAAAAAACAATTTATTGAATAATTACATATGTTTCTTAAAATTGAATTCTTTTAAAGAATTGTATCAATCAATTTTCAAATAATTTGAATTCTTTTGCAAAATTTTATTAAAATAGATATTAAAAATAATTAAATTAGGGAAAATTTTTGAAAATAATTGAAATTTTGTCAAGAAATTTATTAAATTTTTTGAAAATAATTCAATTTTAGAGAAGAATTTTATTATTTATAAAGATAATATGATAATTTACGCAAAGAATTGCATTAAAAATTTTGAATGCAATAATTTTATTCTTTAAAGAAATTTAATTAAAAATTTATTAAAAATAATAATTAAATTCTAATAAATAAATTGTAGCAGAGGTTATTAAAATAATTAAATTTCTTTGATAAATTTTAATAAAATTTTTAAGAATAATTACATTTTTCGAGGAATTCGATTAAAATTGTATTAAAAATAATTGAAATTCTGCAATTAGCTTTATTATTTATTAAAATAATTGAATTCCTAATATAAGAATTTTATTATTGGCCAAAAAAAATAAATACCTGTAAAAATTGTATTATTTATGAAAATAATTGAATATTGCGAAGAAATTTATAAAACAAAATTTGTAAATAATGAATTTCCTGTAAAATTTTTATTATTTTTTGAAAATAATTAAAAGTTTGTGATGTAGAATTTTATTAATTTTCTTTAAATAATTGAATTCTTTTGAAAAATTTTACTAGAATAGTATAGATATACCTATTAAAAATCATTGAATTGAGGAAAAATTTTGAAAATAATTAAAATTTTTCCAAGAATTTTATTAAAATTTTTGAAAATAATTGATATTTTGGAGAAGAATTTAATTAATTTTAAAGATAATTGAAATTTTGACGAGAATTTTTAAAAGATTTTGAACATAATTGAATTTTTGCGAAGAATTTTATTACTTTTGAAAATAATTGAATTCCTTTAATCATTTGTAATTTCTCTAAAATTATCCAAATTATATCGTATAATTTACGTACTTTACGGACCTTTTTCAATCAAATTACGGACTTTACGGACCTTTTTTAAAGAAAAACGGACTTTTACGGGATTTACGGACTTAGCTCGAGCCCTGATATATTGTACGGCTGAGAAATGTTGTCAAGTGTGAAATATATTTTTGAGAATATCTAGTTTTATTCGGTTTGATTATTATTATTATTTTTTTTTCTTTCGTAAATCACTTACCTGGATCGATGTCGTTTGCAAGAACTTGTCTCGCTCCGACAAGTTTTGCGGCAATAGCGGAAGCTCCACATCCACTGCCAAGATCTAGAACGCGCGAATTCTTGTTGAATTTGTTGGACAAAAGTTTTATTCCCATGTCTAAAATGAATCTCGTTAAAACTTGTCCTCCCGGCCAATATATGGACCAAAATGGATCTTGAAAGAATGTTTTTTCCACGGCTCCATTTGCATTAGTTGATTGGATCGTTTCTGCGCTTGCATGGTACAGGGGACAGTTCGGTGTCAACAGGTGCAGTTTTAATTCAGGTGTCAAATGGGTTTGCGAGATTTCCGTGTTTTTCAAAATGACTTTTTCTATTTCGACTCTCATCCCTTTCTCTTCTTTAATGAATTCATCGCGAGCAGTTAATCCATTTCCACTCCAACATCTACTACTTCTTTGAATATTTAAAATTCTCACTCTCAAATATCGATGCAGAGCCATTTTCTTCTATGTCTGTAATTAAATAATATGTTGTTTTTTCTTTACAAATTTATTATTATTTTTTTTTTTTAGTTCAAATCAAATATTTTTATTTATACTTTTACAGGATTCGCACTCGATAATAATTAATTTTAAAAAAGTAGCTTTAAGCTTCATTTTAAATAAATTATTCAAAATAATTGAATTATTCTATTAAGTTTTCATAAAATGATTCAAAAAAATTCAATTATTTAAAAAAAAATTTTAAATTTAATAAAATTCGTCAAAAAAAAGATTATTCAATTATTCAATTATTTTTAAAACAATTTTAATTAAACTAATTCGAAATAATTGAATTATTCTTTTAAATTTTCATAAAATGATTCAAAAAAATTCAATTATTTAAAAAAAAATTTTTAATTTAATGAAATTCGTCAAAAAAAGATTATTCAATTATTCAATTATTTTTAATACAATTTTAATTAAAATAATTCGAAATAATTGAATTATTCTTTTAAATTTTCATAAAATGATTCAAAAAAAATTTTAATATCTACAAATTTTTAAAAATTTCTTTGCAATAATTCAATTTTCAAAAATAAAAAAATTCTTCACAGGAATTCAATTATTTTCAATACAATTTTAATTAATTTATTCAAAATAATTGAATTATTCTTTTAAATTTTCATAAAATGATTCAAAAAAATCCAATTATTTAAAAAAAATTTTTAATTTAATGAAATTCATCAAAAAAAGATTATTCAATTATTCAATTATTTTTAATACAATTTTAATTAAACTAATTCGAAATAATTGAATTATTCTTTTAAATTTTCATAAAATGATTCAAAAAAAATTTTAATATCTACAAATTTTAAAAAAATTCTACGCAATAATTCAATTATTTGCATAAAAATAATAAAATTCTTCACAGAAATTCAATTATTTTTCATACAATTTTAAATTAATTTCTCGAAAAATGTAATTATTTTTAAGAGTTTTTTTTCAAATTCTTCGAAATAAATCAATTACATTCAAAAATTTTAATAAAATTCTTTGAAAGGAATTATTTTCCCATTCAATATTTTTTATTTTCCTGACTTTTTTCTAATTTTCATCAAGAATATTTACTTCTTTCTTATCCTGATAATAAATTGAAACATTGCAACGAATTTTATTAATCATGAAAGATTTTAAATATTTATACAAATAATTTAATTCCTGCGTAGAATTTTATAAAAAATTTTAAAGAATTCATTTCTTTCGACTAATTTTATGCAAATTCTAATTTAAATATAATTGAATTCCTCAGAAATTTTTATAATTCATGAAAAGAATTGAATTCCTACGAAGATTTTTACAACAAATTTTTTTCATAATTGAATTCAGTTTGGAAATTCTATGAAAATAGTAGATATTGAAAATCATTGAAATGCGAAAAGTTTTTAAAAATAATTGAATTTTGCAAAGAATTTAATTTAAATTTTTGAAAATAATTGAATATCTGTGTGGCATTTTATTATTTATGAAAATAATTGAATTCTTCTGAACGATTTTATTATAATTTTTTAAAATAATTGAATTTCCAAGAAGAAATTTATACTTTTAAAAATAATCGAATTCTTGTGATGAATATTGTTATTTATGAAAATAATTGAATTTTGCAAAGAATTTTATTAAAATGCCTCAAAATAATTGAATTTTCGGGAATAATCAAAGAATTTTGTCAAAATTTTTTTAAATAATAGAATTTTTAAAAGAATTTTATTCAAATTTTTGGAAATAATTGAATTTCTCAGAACTATTTTTTTTTCAATTCTCTGAATATATTTGAATTCTTTCGAGAAATTTCATTAAAAAATTAAAAATAATTGAATTGGTACGAAGAAATTTATAAAAAAAAAGTGTCAAGTAATTTAATTCCTGTAAAAATTTAATTAAAATTTTGTTTAAATAATTGAATTCTTTTGGAAAATGTTATTAAAATAGTAGATTTTAAAAGTAATTGAAATAATTTATAAGTAATAATTTTATGATAGTTGTTCAAAAATTAATTTATTTAAAAAGAAATTATTGTCAGAAATGGAAAAAATTGAAGGTTTTGTTGTACAATTTTGTATTTTTGTGAAATTTTATTAAAATAGTAGAATATTGAAAATCATTAAATTAAGAAAAAATTTTGAAAATAATTGCAATTTTGTTATGAATTTTATTAAAATTTTTAAAAATAATTGAATTTTATTACTATTCAAAATAATTGAATTCTTACGATGAATACAATTATTTATGCAAAATAATTGAATTTTGCAATGAATTTTATTAAAATTCCTGAAAATAATTGAAATGTTGACGATAATTTTTTTTTAGATTTTTTTAAAATAATTGAATTTCTACAAAGAATTTTATTAATTGTAAAAATAATTGAATTTTTGGTGATGAATATTGTTATTTATGAAAATAATTGAATTTTGCAAAGAATTTTATTAAAATGCCTCAAAGTAATTGAATTTACGGGAATAATTTTTTTATTTATCGATATAATTGAAATTTTTCGAAGAATTATTTATGTAAATAAACAATTTTGAATTCTTGGGATGAATTTTATTAAAATCTAAAAGAATAATTGAATTATTTCAAAAAAATTCAATTAATTAAAATTGTATTTAAAATAATTTATTTCTTTCGAACAATTTTATTAAAATATTTGAAAATAATTGAATTCATGTGAAAAACTTTAATATTTATGAAAATAATTGAATTATTGCGAAAAATTTTATTAAAATGTTTTAAAAGAATTGAATTTTGGCGAAATTTTTTTCAATTTTTTGAACATATTTGAATTTCGGCAAAAAAAATTGTATTACTCTTGAAGATAATTAAATTTAATTAATAATTATAATACCAAATACGTTTTAATTTTTAAATATTAATATGAATTTATAATATTATTTTTATTTTCCACCGACATATTTAAAAGTATTTTTAATAATCTTTAATTAATAGAAATTATCGACTTTATTATTTTTAATAAAATTTTTTTCCATAGTAATATGAATAATTAATTTAAAAAATAAATTTTATCATAAATAATTAAGAGGAAAAATTAATTATCATGAAATTCATGTCTGACCACAAACGACTATTACCACTGGAATGGAAAATGTGTTTAAAGGCCTTTTGTCTGACAGTAACTGAATTTCTTCACTAAAATGAAAATAAACAATTTTTGACTATCACTAAAATTACAATAAAAAATTATTTCTGACATTCTGACCAATTATTATAAAAAAATTATTTCTGATTCTCATTTACTATATTGAAAACAGAATTACAGAGATTAAAAAAATTTCTCAAGTTTTACTACTGACGCTGTGATTTTATATATTGTGTTAAAAATTAAAGAGAAAAATTTGTAGGAAAAAATTTCCTATCTATGCTTTTTTATTTTATAAATTTTTGAAATTTTTTTACATTTTCTCGTTTATTAATATTTAAAACAGCAAATGTAGTCTTTGAATAAAAAATATAATTTTTCTCCTCCAAATGTATAATAAAATAAAATAATGTCGATAATAATAATAATAATAATAATAATAATTTATTGTCAATAAAATAAATGCGGGCTAATGAGTATAAAATAGAGAATATACAGAGAAGATAAACATTTGAAAGATAAATAACAAAATTAATTGTTTAATTGTTCATATATTATCGTTCTCGCTATATTTTTCTATTAACCTTTTTGACGTGCAACGCTGTCAACTGAAAAGTTAAAATAAAATAAAATGAAATAAAATACAAAAAAAAAAAGTAACAAAAGCTCATGAGAATGAATAACCTGCGTGGAGATAGTAGAAATTTAAAAAGAGAAATGATAAACTGTTGAGTTATACATGTAACAATAAATACGGAAGCATTTTTCAAAGCATGTAAACAATTTCCCCAGGATAAAATATCGATAATGTGCCCTCCTCCCCCCCCCCTCCACCCCCTCTTTGTTCGTGAATAAATGTTGCCTCACTTTTTTTTGCCACAATTTTTTTTCTCCATCAACGAGAATTTTATTTATCCATACGAAGCACAACGTACGGATGCATATGCAATTATTCCTCTGGGATATATTTTCACTAATGTATGTTTCGTGTAAAATTTATTTTATTTGATTTTTTATTTATTTATTTATTTATTTATATTCGTAGCGCAAAGTATGGATAAACGTAATTGCATTATTTTTAGGGATTAGCGCACTGTAATAAGAAATTATTTAAACTTGCAAAGTAAAAATTATCTGCAATATGCATATTGCTTGAAATTATAAAAATATATAAATTTCTATATTCTTAACAAACGATTCTTTTTAATTATAAAAAAAAAAAAAAAAAAAAAAAAATTATTTCATAAAAATTTAACAAATATATTCTTCTTTCTGTCTGTTCTAAATTTGATAAAATATACACTGTCGATTAAAATTGAGAGACCACCCATTTTCAGGTAAATGAAAAATATTTTAAAACATAAAATTTATGGAAACTAAAATTTGTCCTTTTTATTTTTCGAAAGTTGATAAAATTTACTACCTTTTTTTTTAATTAAACTAGCAATTTTAAAAAAAGAATTTAAAAATTTTCTAATTTAAATTTTTATTGAAAACACTCAAAAAAAAATTCAATTTTGGAGAAATTACAAATAATTGCAGAAATTCAATTATTATATTTTCAAAAAAAAAAAATTCTTGTTATAAAATTCAACAATGTTCAAAATTTGAAAAAAATTCTCGTAAAAATACCAATTCTCTTTATAAATAATAACAAAACTCTTCTCCAAAGTTCAATTACTTTTTATAAATATCAAAAAAAATTCTTGTCCTAATTTCAATTATTTTCAAAAAAAAATGCATTTTTCTAATTTTAATGATTTTCAATACCTACTATTTTAATAAAATTTCCCAAAACGAATTCAATTATTTAAAAAATTTTTTAATAAAATTATATGCAAACATTTAATTATTTTCATAAATAGTAAAAATTCCATGG